TTATATTATCCTAATAATTAAAGAAAATGGCTCAATTAATAGGTTTACAATAAAAACTTACAAATTATTACATAAAGATTCTGTTAAAAAACTATATAGAGCTAGTAATAAATGTGAAGTGACTAACTAAATGATCAGAACAGTTAGTATACTCAAGTATATGATTATTAATATTAGATAGTATTTAATTTCAATATAATTTATGTGTAGATTTACCGCAGTTCAACTATTAAATATTTGCATCAACGTAATACTAATATTAATCAATATTATCAAAAATCTATAAATAGTTTATTAGGTAAATTATTTTTAAAGAGACTAACGAGTTTTTTAATAACTATAAGGTAAAAAATATCTTGTTTAAAGAATGTTTGACAGTATTAAAATATTTTATTTCAGTATTGAAAGATTTTTGATTTATACAATGATTTAATTGAAAAAATGATCATTAACCATATGAACATTAATTGGTATAATCATACTAATGTAGTTTTCAGAGATTATATTAGAGTAAAGAATATGTATTATAATGAATTATCATTTAGCAATGTATTAATTAATATGAATGAAGAAGAAATTAAAGATTATAATACAGGCATAGGTGCATGTTTTGACAAGGTATATATTTTTACTATTTAATATTAATAATCGAAGAATAATAGATTATTCATTTTATATTTATTAATAGATTCTCATATTAGTCACTATCAAAATTGAAGATTATTCATCTTTTGATCTTACACTTGTATAATGATATGATTTTTGCTATAAAAATGATAAATGACGTTTATATAAATATAATTATCTCTAGTTGCAAATTACAAATACATACAATTTTATACTTATTGAGTCAATCATAAAATAGTAAATATGTTGAACAACAAAATAAATATTTTATTAATATATATGTGTTTTAGAATATTGCAATAATTATAATTATAATTGTTAACAAAAAAAATTAAATAAAAATATATACTATTAATATATAGAATTGCACAATAGTGTGTAATGTATTGATTATCATGCTAATATTAAAAAATGTGTTTATTAACGATATACAGAGGGTAGACAAAAGTTTCTGGTTATCTTTATAAATGTAATTTAACAAATTTTCATCATATAATTGTGATACTATATTGCAGTTATGATTATCTATTATTTATTTTATTTATATA